CAAAGAAAAAGAACTGAGTCAAAGCCTTCACGGAACCGTTCTCCAAATAGACTAAGTCTTCTTAAACTTCTGGTTTCAGTGCTTGTAGAACACACATTTAATACAAGCGGAAACTTTAAACCAAAATAGAAGGCACTCCCAAACAGTTCTACGAAAGTACTTTAATCAATATTTTTTGTCGGCAGCGCATTGCGACGGCTGTGTCTCAAATTCTATTCAGGACATTTAAATGCTCCGTTGCCGTAGAGGAATGAACACAAGTACCTTAAGCCTCTTCCCCACATGAAGTGAGCGTAAATTCGAATTTTAGGCGGATTGTTAGATTTGGAAGATGCAAGGGATTCCTATCAGAGATTAATGTGCCTGTTGATCGAACGCTGCCTGGAGGCCAATTAGGGCTTCCGTTTTCCTAATGCGTCTCAACGGTTTTAACAACTCTAGACTTGACAAGTCAACTTTTCGTTAGGTCACATCATTTTTTGCTAAAACATGATACTTTAGTTAAGATCACTAGAGTAATTTCCTCTTGCCAGCTAATTTACAATCGCAGAGTACAACTGAAAAATATTCAATGAGGGCTAGTTTCTACTTTATGTTTCTGCGAAATACCTCCTACTTTAAGTCTCTGTCGGTTGAGAAAAAATAGATTGCCCCTTCAGAACGTTTCTAATCTAAACTAGCATGCGGTTGTTCGAAATAATTCATGCCAGTTGACCGACAAAAGTAGGCTCAAGTCTTTAGCTTTCTGTCGCGATGTTCTGTAACTTCGATGCGTCTCATTAAACTGCACTTGCCCGGGTTTATTTTCCTAGGTGTCGTGGACGGTCGACAATGCTCATCTGCAAGCAGACGAGCAAACGAAGGACACAAACGGTTATTTCAGTAAAACGTTACCTCCGGTTAGTCGAAAACTGTTACATCATACTATATCATTGTTTTCTGATTCCCATCTCACCGTCGAAATGGGACAGTACAGCTGATTCCATTAAACAGTTGACCGGCTTTTCCAGTAGGTCGGCTTTCAGGTCTGATTTAGAATGTTTGCAGCCTAAGCATCAAAATCCGTGCCGGCTCCGGAAGTCTAAAATACTAAAGGCAGTTTAATGACAAATGGCTCACTTCCAAAAGGCCGTGCTACTCTGGAACTTTTTGCTTTTGCGCTTACAGGATGTCCTCAACCTGGCAATCGAAAATCTCCTTCCAAATCTCTCCTACAAAGTCCAGGTGAGAACATTACGAGAGTCATTCCGCCTTATAGAACAATTGCAGTCTGCTTTTATGCTTCGAAAGTTTTCGCCATTATAAGTGTGCACCTGGCATGAATCAGGATAAATTATGATTCCTTGACAGATGAGGCTACAGGGAAAGTGCAAGAGCAAATATATATAAATTGTCCGGACGCGAGGACAGTCTGAGTTGAAGCGTCGAGCGTGCATCTATTGATGGCGACAGCAAATCTTTAGGCAGAGGCTTCCGGGTCTGCCGATGGTCATTCTGCTTCCCTCTTGCCATTGAATCCACACGCGCCAGTCGCCTGCTATGAGACACACGGCAGACATCGTCGTCTGCAACGGTCGAACGGCCGTTTCATGTGGAGAAAGGTTCAAGAGGAAAAACAGCTGACAACTTTATGATATCCGATATCTCGTAAGGAGGATTGGGGGATTGCACTTATGTATGTACCTTGTGCATTTATTATGTCATTTGAGCCTCCGAGGGTGCGTCGTTTTTGCTCCGTCGCAGAAAATCGTCAGACACATGTGCAACCCAGTAGAGATGGTGTATTTTTCACGCCAGCCCCTGCGTTCGACCTTTTCTCTGCACAATTTAACTCGGCTTAACCAGCAATTTGTAACAATAAGGGCAGAAGGCGAGAAGGATCATTCGTGAATTTTATTTGCTGCTCGAATTTACTGATTATTAAGTGTCCTGTGAAACCCTTCCCAGCTACCAACAGGCAAGGCCATTTGAGTAAAAAATGGGGGCAGCCGCTTTCGAGGTAGTACAGATATCACTCGAGATTGGAATACCTCATTCCATCACTCTCAACGCCTACACACCTCAGAATGTGCCATTGCTAACTGATTTGCGAAATTCGATCGTCTTTCTTAGTCATATTAGCATTCACCACAGTTTCCGCATGCTCACCCACCGTCCCGCCCTATGACAATTCGACCATCAATTTCGACGATATCCACCATGTGCTCTACAACAGAGCGAGAGCAGACACGGTGACTTGCGCGTGATTTCTTTTACAATGACAGTAGACTTGCGCGACATCCACCTCACTCTCTCCTCCTCCCCCACCTGGGCCCCCTGTCAAGACATAGTCAGGAAGGCCGGAGGTGGGAGAGCGGACATGTGGCTGGGACGGCCGGAGCCGCCCCTAGGCGTGCCATCACGCCCGGCTCGGATCCCACTGAGTAGGGATGCCATAAAGGCCACACTGACAAGGAGTCAGTGCAACCTGACTCTCAGACTACCAGTCAGCCGCTCCACACGAACGCACACTGGGCTGACTGCGAGGTCCAAGTTATTCCGTCAGTTGGCAACCTTTCAAGCCACGGCTTTTAGCGCACCGTGACAGCCTAAAGCGCAACAGATTGGTTATAATGCGGAAAAGGCTTTGAGTCGCCGACCTCACTCGTCCTTCCCATTCCCAGGTCCCAGTCACTGTCCGAGCGGGTCACCTGACAGGTACGGGAATGGGCGCGGTGGCTGACATATCCAATGTCCTTGTCTGCGCGCGCCACATGCACGATTTTGCCCCAAAACACAAAAACCAGGATTTCACAGAACGGGATTTCACAACAAAGGATTTCACACAACAGCATGCATCTGACATGTGTGAGAGCGCCAGAGGTCACGCTAAGAAGGAGCCGTCTTAGCTTGACTCTCAGCCCACCAGTTCGACGTTCCACACAAATACACCCAACTAGGCAGACTGCGTGGACTGAGTTGATGCGTCAGTCGACAACCTTCCAAGCCACGGCGCTTGGCGTACTGTGATAATCTCAGATTCTGATCACACATGCGGCGGAGGAGCCACATGGAAAAGGAGCCAAAAAACAATATCCACTTTCTTGAGAGGTGCTAGTGGTGTGCTTGCGTTGTGTGATGATGGGTGATGTTGGCGTGTGTCGTAGGTACTCGTGAAGAGAAGTGTGGCATGATATGGCTGACGGTGATCTATCACAGGTTTTACTAAATGAGCATGAGGCTGTAGAGACCCGTGTAGTGGCTGAATCCGCGAGGTCAATGAGAGTAATTGGGGCGACGGCGTCTGGTACTACAGGCATAATTTCGCCAATCCCTGTCCGATGGATTCGCAAGTGACCGATCAGGCCGATGCGTGAAGTGAATGTGCTGTCGCAATGAGGACATGCCGGGAGCGAGCTCACATCACGGGAGGTGAGAGTAATGATGACGAATGTGTTCTTGGCTGTCGGGGCGTCAGAAGCGTTTCGGTCTTTAAAAGTGGTGGTTAATGTGGTTGTATTCTTCGTTGCCGCGGTAGTTGTGGTAGAGGTAATGGAGGTGGTAGTAACCGACGGTAATGTGACTTCAAAGCAACGTTGGTGAGGATGGGCGCCTACGTGGTCGACGTGAGGGTTGGAGTAGTCGCAGTCGTTGAGGCAGCAGTTGTGGTCTCCGGGCGATTGGTGCATTGGGTCCGAAGATGACTGACAAGGCCGATTCGTGCGCGAAATGTGCAATGGCAGTGCCGGCACGTTGGATGGGATTGAGCGGCGATGTTGCGAAGCGGAAGCGCCTGAGACTCGTGAGCAGTACTTTTGACTTTGGAGGCGGCCATCAAGTTTGCTTCGTCATGGTTGTGTAACGTCCCCGTCTAGCGCGAGTATATAGTCAAAGAGGCCAAACAGGATAAGGCGAAGACTAATAGATACTTTACTGAAGGACCTACGCACAAAGAGAAAGTACGGGAGGAATCCTAACCACGACAATAAACTGAATCTGGGGCCATTGTCCACAGGGACGGCTGAGAGCACTGGGATCCAGCGGAGAAGGCGGCAGGGGTTTCTCGTCCGTCGAACGGCGACCGGCCACGGGGTTCCTGGAGGTTAATCCTCGCAGGTATTTATAGCTTCTCCAGACGCCAACGGCGCCAAGGCTGAGTCCGCCATTATTGATTGGTTGAGGGTAGGTTAAGGGGGAGAGTTAAATAAACTTAAGTTAAGGCTACTTTGATTAATTTAGAGTTATATTTATTTATTGTATGCATACTTTTTATAAGAAACCAGATTGCGACTAAGTACCTGGCGTAAAAATATGGAAAAGCTCGGCGCGCGCGCCCCTAAAGGAGCGCGCTACCTAGAACGTACAAGGTGGCGGCACGTGGGCTGGCTTTCTAGAACTTCGCACAACTTCGCCAGTCTTCACATCTCTTCTCCTGGCCGGTCGGTTCTGGACGAGGTTTCCCCAGGTCTTCGTGTCGATCTGAAATCGCTAAAGAGAATTCTTCTAGCGTCCTTTTGGTCCTCCCGGTCACCGCGCACCCGTGGCGACAGATATGTAGAAGAGTTGTTTTGGCAGGCAAGCGTCGTCCTTTCTCACCAGGTGGCTGCTTCATTGCAGTTGCAATTGTCTCAGCGTGGCGTGGATGCTGAGGATTGCGGTCAGTTCCAGAACTTCCATGTTCGGGATCTGGCCCTGCCATCTCAGCCTTAGTATTGGGAGAAGCCAGTTTGAACGGAAGTGGTTGAGCTTGCTGACATGGCTGGAGTAGACGGTCCAGGCCTCTGCTCCGGACAGCAGTGTCGTCAAGACTATGGCCTTGTATACCTTCAGTTTAGTGTTCAGTTGAAAGCCGTGGCGATTCTACACGTAGGTTTGCAACTGGCCGAAAACCTGGCTGACTTTGGAGAGCCGGCGGGCAAGCTCGTCGTCTATTCATGTGCTGTGTGAGAGTGCGCTTCCTAGACAGGCAGAGTTGTCCAGGGTTTGGAGTTAGTTGCCGCTGACAGTGATTTGAGCAGAGTTTAATTCAGCGTCCGGTGGCGGTTGATGCATGACCACCGTTTTGCCCGTATTGATGGCCAATCCGAAATGAGAACAGCCGGAGGCGAAGAGATCCATGTTCCGTCGCATGTCTTCTTCGGTCGTGGTGTGAAGTGCGCAGTCGTCGGCGGAGAGCAGGTCGTGCGCCGTGGTCGCAGCTGGCCGCGCTGGGCCTGCTTGTGCTTGCTGTTGAGGTGCCGCCCGTCAATTCTATGCGCAATGCGTATTCCAGGACGCTCATCACAGTAGGCGTCCACCAGCAGAGCAGAGAGCTTGAAGCTGAAGAGGGTGGGCGCGAGGACGGAGTCCTGCTTCACTGCATTGGTCACTGCGAATGCCTCGGAGACTGCGCCGTTGTCCGTGACGTACGCTATCATACCGTCGTGGAGCTGACATACCATGCTCGTGAAGCGCTCAGGGCAGTCAAATTTCTGCATGATTTTCCACAGTCCTTGTCTGTTCACCCGATCAAAGGCTTTCGCTAGGGCCAAGAAGTTAGTGTGGAGGTGGGTTTGCATCTCATGGGACTTCTCCTGTAGCTGGAGAGCGGCAAAGATCATGTTGGGTGTGCTCCGTTGTCGTCGGAAGCCACGTTGACCTTTCGGCAGAAGTCCCTGTTTTAGATGTCCGATTGAGGAGGATGCAGGCGAAAATATTCTCCTCAATGTTGAGTCGCGAGATCCCGCTGTGATTGTCACAGATTTACCGGCTCCTTTTCCGCTTGCAGAAGCAGACGATGGTTACGTCTTTGAAATCCCGAGGGGCCTGCCTTTGTCGCCACATCTACCGGAATAGCGTCATGGGTTAGTCCATCAGGCAGTGGCCGCCGTGCTTACAGATTTTAATTAGGAGCGCGTCGGAGCCCGGTGTTTTTCCGCTGGAGAGCTGTTTCAAGACACGAATTGTTCCTTGAAGGGAGGAAGGGAAGTTCAAGTCGACGTTGATTTCCACTTGGAGAGCCGGTCGATGACGGCATCGGAGATTGTAGAGGGATGGTTGAGAACGTTTCTGAAGTGGTCAGCCCAGCGCATCAGAATGTGCGACTTTTTCCTCAGAAGCGTTGATTCATCGAACCTGAGATGCGGCAGAGTTCCTTCCGTCGATAGGTCATGGATCGTCTGGGTAGCATCGGAGAAGTTCTTTGTTTTGTTGCTATCGGCATATCCCTGAATCTCCTCGGCCTTGCGAGCCATCCAGATGTCCTGCAATTATCGCAACCGTTGCTGCGCAAGGCGGCGAAATTAGTAGAAGGCCGCTTTGCCTGCATCGGCTGGACGGGAGAGGTAGGCTTATGCGGCCTGTTGTTCTCGGCGAGTAGGCTGCTTATGGCTGCGTCGTTTTAGTCGAACCGGTCCTGATGCTGAAGATGTGCGCGGCTGAGGACACCCATAGCAGCTGAAGGGACGGCATCCCGTAGTTGGCACCATCGAGTCTCCCCTGAGGCGTTTTTATCTGCAGCTGGCAGGTCTTCCAGCCGCTGGGTCAACTGATTGCTGAAATGAAAACGGTGAGCAGGCAAAGACAACAAAGCGGTATTCAGCTTACCCGAGGATCGCTTACCTTGTGGCCTCTTGCTGGCTTGCAAACGGTACTTCATCCTGGAGATTACGAGGCGGTGGCCCGTACGGCCATCAGAGTTGAAGATCATCCTTGACACCATCACTTCCTTTCGATCCCGTTTCCGGACGAGAACATAGTCCAACAGCTGCCAGCGCCGCGGCCGAGAGTGCATCCAGGTGGCATTCGTCCGCATCGGCAGGCGGAATGTGTTAGTCAGCAGGAGGTGGTGTTCACTTCAGGTTCTCAGGGGAAGGAGGACATTGTCAATGTAGCCGGCGATTCTGTAAGTACCCAACACGCCTCTCCGACAGTGCAGTCTGTCCTGACAAGGACATTAAAGTCCCCAAGGACAATCACCTTATCCGCCTTCGGCATTGACGTCAGGAGGGCGTGCAGGTCTTGGTGGCAATTTGCCTTCGCCTAATCTGAACCGATCATTGTTGGGGCGTAGGCGCTGACGATGGTGGCGAATTTACCTCCCCAGAGAGGTAGGCGCAGGCCCATTGAACGGTCATCGGTGTCCTGCAGCAGACAGGCAATCACCCTACGATGTCAGTCTGGATGGCAAAGACGACGCCCGCTTCACGTCGTTCTGCCTTGGGGCGACCGCTCCTGGAAAAGGTGTAGTCGGCATCCACCTCCGTCTTGTTCGGAGCACCGAATCTCGCTGAGTACAA